ATATTTCAATCAGATGATTATTTGGGCTTTATTTGGTCATATTCTTTAAACAAGTTCTTTCCAGGAACGTTATGTTGTTGTATACAATGGTTATGTTTATTTCACTTCTATGTTGTAAAACGATCAGGTGAATAATATGTTGTTTTAAGACTACCTGAGATGTAATAATGAAAGGAGGAGGAGCTAGCTTAGGCCGAACATAATATTTTATGAACAAGTGAAGGATGAACCTACTTGGCGCAATGTTTTCCTTATCCTCTCACCATATTGAAGATAAACAGGTCACTTGTAAGCGGGTTCATCCAAAGGAACGCCGCTGTTAGGATTTCGATGGGAAAGGAGTGAAAGATTGTTAGTTTGACGCTCTCTTTGGTTAGACAGGTAAAGTTCATTTTGAAATGCTGAATTATAGTCTCAAAAATTCCTGAAGGTCACGATATTAAGTTGAAATCCTCAGGAAACATTATGGAAAATGGTAACTATAAAGTTCTGAAAAATATTAGATTTCTTTGTAATTAATCACCCTTCACAATCAGTTCCGCTTAGGGAGTGAGATGTAAGTCATTGTATTCATCTACTTTCATGTCTACCAAATGTTGGCCAGTATTTAAAACATCAACATGTAATTTAAATCATGGTGCCGTGTAAACCTTATTTTTACCCGCTTTTATTTCCACTGCCTAAGATGATCCTCTCCCGTAGCTCTATACATATATAGAAATAATTTTATTATCAATTTCCGCATAAGTCCTTTCTCATGTCCTTTCCGTTTGTTCATCCCTTTAAAAGCCCTCTGTTTTCTCTGGACCCCTTTTCTCATATGGGCACAATAAACCTATACAAGTTAGTTACATGAAACGAATTTTCATGGGTAGAGAGCTTTCCTTTATACGTCAATAGGACCCTATTTTTAAGTCGACTTTGCAGCAGCTCGCATATTTTTATTGTCGGAGATACTTTATCCTTGCACATGGGTGTCAACAGGCAAATTTTTAGAGGGTTACCTACCTACTTTACTTTTCTATACTGTCGCAGCTGGGAAACCAGAGCCTCTTAGTACTGTAACGCTCTCGAGTACCAAAAACGCTTTGACGTCTATTAGGGTGAACAGCTGATCAGCAAGTGACATTTTTGTGTTAGTCGGGTTGAAATCTAGTAAAACTTGTTTGTGGCGTTTTGTTTTATGTAAGCAAATAAAAGAGCTGTTAGCAAGTACACAATGAATCTGTAGCGTACAAAAATCTAAAACAAAATACGGCTCTAACGACATGACGTTGACGGATTCGATATGGTTAATTTTGAGACAATAGACAATCCGCTGTCATTCTACCGTCATGGATACTCGTGAAATAGGGTATTAAGATCTTGAATGGCAAAAAGATAAGCTCGCAGAACAAGGCAACCAGAGTTACACCATCGTGTATCGCTGCTTGCGAAGCTCCGCGAGCGAAAGTGTTCACGAGCTCGTTTTTCCAAGTGAAAGGATTCTTGCAGAAGGAGCGCAAATCTAACCTAATCAGATTAGTACATAAGAGAGATTGTGAATAGCTATTAATAAAGGTGAATTAATTATTGTAGGGCAATCCTTGGACATTTGTGTTTTTGAACATCAGCTACAGAGTAATTCATTGAGACCCGTCTGAAAGCAGCTATTTTGCCATCTACCAGCTTCGAGGAAGAATCGAGTTTTTGCTAGATTTTGTAGTTAGTTATTAAGTAAGAAACCTATATAATGTCAAAAAAACTATAAAATGTTAACTTGTTGACTAAGTAAGCTAGTGTGCAAATAGTTACGGTCTTGTTGGAAAACCTACATACCGTCATAAAAACCTACGCAGTGTCAAAAAAAGCCGACACTATTTAATTTTTGACACCTCCGTCTATGAATGAGATAGCAGTATATGATAAATTGTATCAGTCGCCATTATAAAGGCGTAAAAAGTAGAGTGAATCATAGAGCCTTCCATTCGTTCACTATGGCTTTCAGACTGTGACGTTATGGTCTTTGTTGAGATCATTCATTAAAATTGACACTAGCCAAAATTGTCTCCCTAAAGAAAATCTTAACCGTAACCCGAAGTTACGCTTATGGAGAGCGATATTATATGCGCCGTAGGGTGAAACTTTTTATGGCAAGTCCGAATGGAAGACTTAAGAATGCTCCCAACTGTTACGGGATATTTTACAATATTTTATGTGCGCACCCCAAGGAGTTTCGGTCATTTCAAAGACATTACTTTTCCTGTCTAGAACTGTTTTTTTATTATATCACATATACTGCTTTTTGAGTGCTGATGTCAAAGAATGAAACTTATTTTCTTTATTATACCAATAGCTACAATTCTTGATTCATCGTAGGTGCTTCACTTAGAGTAAAATTGCTACGCATACGTGCTAAAGACGTTACTTAACCGGTATTTAATTCGCTCGGAAAGATATTTTCTTTTATAAGAACTTCTCAAATTCCCCATCTTTTTCAAAGAACTTATATAAATCTGAACGCTTAGATAGTAGAGTATCAATAAACCTGAAACATGAAAACCTCACAACTCAGAACCACTGAATGAATCTTTGAGCTTTTTAGTGGAATGCGTTTAAAATATCGCCAAAAGTTTGTGCGCTTTTTGATTTTCAATTGTTTTAAAATTTCATGTTCTAGTATATCTTGTTGAACTGAACAAATAAGTTCGTTAAAAATTAGGTATCTCACGGCTTCGTGGCTCAGATACAGGGCGCTCTAGTCCATTTCTTTTACACCCAGTTTATTTCCGCGAGTTTAGCATCTGCTTTTAGGACCCCATGATTGTCTATCTGCTAAATGTTTGAATTACATTTCTACTTGAAAACAGGGCTCTGTGGTAACCGAAGCGTGTTTTTATTTAGCGGCCAGACAACATGGAGTCCTATCAACATGGAAACAACAGGATAAGTTTAAAGTGTTACAATATGACGCCTTTTGTTTGCTTTAATATCTATCATTTGCTATATTACCAACCCACCTAGAGCATACATAAATAAACGGAAATCTCCAAAAAATAAAAACAATTTAAACTCAAAACAGCACTAAATTAGGTAAGCTCAACAGCGCACTGTATTTCAGTAAAAGTGTCAAAAATACATTCCATGGGCCCCAGTTCCGAGGTTTAAACCTAAGAATAATCCACTGTCAAAGTCTTTACATGGATAATATACTCAGTGACATTAGAAGTGGGAAAACAATTTCTTCAACTTGATGTTTTGGCAATGAGGTAGTCTAACATCAAGAATGAAACGATAACATACTCACGAAATTTTATTGACAAGTAATAAGAAACAAAATTAATGTGTTGGGCGACCCCGCAGCTCAATACACACCTGTATACAACTAGGCAACGACAAAATGAGATGATCGATATCAGGTTGTGGAACCTCATTCCAAACAACTCGAACTTCGTGGATTAGCTGTCGCAGAGTCTGTGGCGGGTGGTGCAAAGTGGATAGTATCCCCCCATCATATCCCACATATCGTCGGTCTCTGCACGTACCGGCGTAACTGACATTTTACAAATTTTACAGGAGAGCTAGAAAACGAAAATCAGCAATGAAAGAGATTGAAAGTGACATACTGATTTTTCAGTCTGAACGTTGCTGTTTCTTTTTGTTAGACTAAAGTGATGTAGAACCAGTTTTAACGCAGAGGCGTAAATCTATTTAAGCCGGTACGTGAAAATTGTTTTCGGAATTTTATAACGTAGGCAATTTTCTGAAAATTTTAATTGTTAGCAGCGAACTGATATACAGCTACGTCACTTCGTGAAGTAAGAGACTACAAAAAAATCTGTGAAATTACGGCGTAACTCGATTTTGGATTATTTGTCATTTACGCCTGTACGTGCGGAGACCGACAATATGTTCGATGGGACCTTCTTCGTGTTCCTCTACCTTCTTCTATCCAAACACAACACACACGCATTATCGTCATTGCAGTACAATTAACATGGCGGCCAAATTCGTGATAGGACAAGCCAACATCTCGCTATGCAATAATTCTACCCCTGTTAAAATCGCTAACATGGAGATAATTTGGACGTATTCGACCTCGAAGCATTTTGTAATGCTCAATACTAATAAATGGAAGGGCAATAACCAAAAATATCTGTACCTACTACTCAGCTCCCAGAAACTGCTTTCTTCACAAAAACTAAGAGATAATATTTTAGCAAAGGTAAAGAAAAGCAAATATAAAACGATAACATTGTTGCCAGAGCATGCTTTAAATATAGCATTATGTTGCCAAAAAAACAAGTTCAAGAAATTATGTTTTCTGGGTGACTAGTTGACTGACTCTTCGAATTTAGTACCTCAAAGAGTAAAAATACAATTTGTCTTCATGTTGTGCAACTTTTACATTCAATTTTAATGGTTTATCAGGATATATCATCCAGCTTCCAATTGCATAAGGTCTCCTGAATCATTTTCAAATATTACTATACCAGAGTACTGATTGTGATTCCTGCTTAAATGTTCCAAGTCTTAAAATGAAAACTAAATAAGAGCGAACTCCAACGGAAGTCATAAGACTTTCGAATGATGTATACCTGTTAAAGAAATATTCACCTATAGGATGCGCTGACAAAATTTTATTACGTTCTCAAAGCAGCAGCTCCGTGAACGTTATGAAAAATAAATCCGTAGTGTAAATACAAGAAAATCTTTTGATTTCACTCCCCACGGCTTCTGATTTCTATTGAAAATGAACCAGAGATATACATGGGCGCCCGGGGTAAAACAGTGATTGAAAAGCAGTCAGGAAAGTTGGCCTAATAAATCGTCGTCCATACTGCAAACAGGCGTAACTGATTTTATACAAATTTTCAGTAGAAGCAAAATAAATATCGGCAATTATTTAATTCCATATTTCTTTCTTACTTTAGTCAATATGATTACGATTTCTTCCAACAATATAGCTAAAAAGTGTGTTCATCATCGTCCAAGAAACATGTTTTTGATTTTTTTTTCAGATACGCCTCTTTGCGGTAACCTTGACAGTTACAAGTTACAAGACTAGTGCTTTGACTACATATGGAATAAAATCATATTAATTAAAAAAAAAACAGTTTATTCTCAGTTGTAAATGATAGGGATAATACAGAACAGAAGTAATAAGATGACTTCAAACAAAAACATTTATGACGTGTGATCAAGAGGTAGTGAATAATAAAAAAGGTTGATGTTCTGGTAGAGTGATGGCTGGCCTATCGCCTTGGCAATGTGAGGTCAAATCGTTATATTTTTTTAGCGATTTTTCGAAGTTCGCTATTCAGAGGAGAAACCTGGAAACATTCCTTTTCAATTAATCCATTGAATTCAAATAATAAATACAGGGTCCGACACAAAGGTCGAACGGTTTTTAAGAAATCACAAAATCGGTAATTTTTACTCAAAAACAAATTTATTGATGGATTAAGGTTCACAATGAAATAGCGTTTGTCACAATGAGGTGTAGAAAATCACATCAGTCATGTGGTGACCGTTTTGACGGTGCATTGCTGGAGGCGTTCTTGAAAGTTCGCGTAGACTCTCTATAATATCGTTCTCTCAAGTTGGGCGACTTCCACGCGAATCGTCTCCTTCAACTCGTCCAGAGCAGCGTACTATTATACACAATCCTTGAGCTGTCCCCATAGGAAAAAATCACAGATGGAGAAATCTGGGGACCGAGGGGGCCAATGCACATCACCAAACCTGGAAATAAGGCGACCACGGAAAAGAGGGCGAATAACGTTCATGGTTGCTCTAGCTGTGCTGGCGGTCGCCCCATCTCGCTGGAACCACTCACGTCGGAATGAAACACATCGTCGACATAATTTTCATTAGCCCAATAGCAGCAATTCTGCTGGTTAACCATGCCATTAAGATGAAAGTGAGCTTTATCACCCACGAACTTCCTGTGTATTGTATTTCACTTCTGAGAGATACGACTTTTAGTTTTATTCTGATATCTGGATGAGCGAACTTCTTAGAACTACGCCACTTTGCGGGATTGAAGACATGTTATACCTTGTTGATTTGAATCGGTTAGCTTGAATTTTATTTTTTGTCAGATACGCCTGTCTGCGCTTTGGACGACGAAATATGTATCTCCTACATATGATTTGGGAAAGTGGTTTATTTATAAAACAATAATTTTATACACTAATTATTCCTAAAAACTGCTGAGATGAATTTTTCTTCTCAGTACTTTCTCTCACATACTTATGGCACGTTTACATTCACAATGATTATGTTTCGTTGCTGTAGCCCGTGCCATCAGTTTTTTCTGATGATAATTATGTCAGTGACAGTGGAGTTCTACGTAGCTATCAATAACTACTGATGACCATAAATATCACTTTCCAAGATAAATACTAACGGATCACAGTAAATACCGATCGTGTATACTCTCCTTCTTTGGCGAACTCCTATTAGCGCTACGAAGTATGGCTTATTAGCCTAAACCTTCTTGATATAGACAGCTTTGAGAATTTTGAAAAACTTCGGATTGACTGAAGGAAGTCACTGGAAATATCTATGCTAGTTGTCAGCAGATTCAGTTGATAGGGAGCGAATGTTTCTCATATTTTGGTAGATGAAGTCAGAGGTTTGTTTAAAAAAGCATAGATGTTACGACCTCCAATCAACAAAATTAGTGTAATATGAAGACCAATGACGTGAGTTTCTCTAAACGATAGTATTTCACAAATGCGTCATATGAATTGGGATGTTTCCAAAAAGGTCCTAATAATGTTTATCTCAAGTGCAGATTTGACGCTCAAGGTTTTCCAGGAGCTCTCTGTTGACTCGTTGACTGTCAATAGATCTGCTGACAACAGATTGCAAATCTGTACAGGACTGAAGTTACTGTACCAAAATCAGTAATGTCAGTGAATGTTGGCATGACGTGCTACGTCTACTCGTAGGTTCAGGAGCTTGAACAGACTTCAAAGCAAAGCAAAATTGTGTAGAATGATGTAGAAACCTCACGAAACACTAATGTGTGACTTCACCACCTCTGCTCCTGATATGATCAAGCTTTTGAATAAGAATGGATAGAAAATTTAAGTTAAATGCAAATATTATTTTTAGCAATACCTGGGATATTGTCTAGGACAAAGGGCTAAAGAAAATATTCTAATCTACATAAAATACTCACCCCTAGAAACCAGCATAGTATCAGAAAGTAGGCCCCAACTAGAGGTAATTAAACGAGATTCATCTTTGGATGCAGTAAGTAACCATGCATAACAGCAATAAGAATGTTGCGTAATAACTGTTTCAAGCTAATCAGCCCGGTATGCTAATAGCAGCATTTAAATGGGATAACTTGAATGAAACCATAGGTTTGACGTATACCCGATAATTCTGCATAAAAGATAAAAGTCAATGAATGATTATAGTGTAAATTCATGCCGGAAGATGAACACACATAGCATTTAGCTAGTGCTGCACTGCAGCAAGAATCTGGAAATCATACAATTTCGTATATACAGGGTCCGTCAAAAAGCACGCATGTTTTTCGAATGGGTACTACATCGAGTGGGCTGGTCCCGTGTCGGTAGGGAAGGGCGTGTTGGATAGTGGGAGAAGTGCCGAGATCTTAGCAAGATGGCTTGGATCGTTGAGCATCGTGTGTTCACTGTACGTCGGTACTTTCAAAATGGCGAGTCTGACGTTCGAACGCAACGTGATTTTCGCGTTCACTTTCGTGTTCCACGACGTGGGACAGTACCAGACCGTAACACCATTTTGAGATGGGTGGAAGCATTCAACACAACAGGTAGTGGAAACGGCAATAAACAAAATTGTCGATATTGGTCTCCAGTGAACCTCCAACAGTTGCATGAGCACCCCCTCCATACCCCAAGTTACAGTTTGGTGTGCAGTAGGCCCAACGATGATTATTGGCCCTTATTTTATTGAGGGTGATGGAGAAACAACTACTGCGATTTCAGAGCGTTACATCCACATGCTGAACATTTTTTTTTTCGGAACTTCGACGTCAACGAGTCCGTCTCAGAACCTCTCACACAGCTCGCACTTCGGTGTAACTTCTTCGGCAAAAATTCCCAGGACATCTCATTTCACGTCATGGCGATATTCCATGGCCCCCTCGCTCCGAGGGTACCTGTCAACGTGTGATTTTTTTTATGGGGCTACCTGAAATCAAAAGTTTACCAAAGCAAGCCTCGGACCCTAGTCGATTTGAAGGAGGAAATAAAAGAGAAGTAACCCAAATTCCTGCACGGATGCTGGCCGGCGCAATGGGCTCATTTGGTTCCTGCATTTCGGCTCAAGGGCGCCATATGGCCGACATAGTTTTTAGAACGTAAACTTTGTTTTACTCAAAAAAATAGCATGTATTTGTATGTATTTCTGAGTATTCTGTTATGATAAAATATTTCTCCCCATACTTATTTTGACTGTACCACTCATTTAAAAAACATGCGTACTTTCTGACGGACCCTGTATAGTAAGAGTGGTGAGAATTTACCAGATCAGTATAATGTAATGTTTTTTTTTAATGAATTTGTCATAGGGAGAATTTTTAATGGAAAGAATTACTCTGATTCACTTCTAAGGATAGCCAGAACTCTTCGATGTAAAAGCGTCATAAAATGTTGCGTAAGTCCTAAGGACGAGAGTATAGTCGAGAACCTCATTTAAATGTGTATGCCACGGTAGATTCACGAAACATAAGGTTAGTGAGAGATAAAATTAATTTGATATAATCCAGCGTTTACTAAATTGATTTAAGCAAGTTCCTCTCTCATTGGAGAGTCGTCAAGGTGCATGCCATGGGCATCTATCTTAAAATGATCTACAATGCGAAAATTCTCTTTTTGGACGCCGATGGCCTTCCAGAAAGAGGATATCATCCGACGTCGGATTTTCAGCAATCTCTACCACTACTCCTGTAGTCGAGCCTAATCGATAAGACGGATAGTTGATTATGTGCCGCTGTTTCGCTCTCAATCGAAAGCAGCCTCTAATAAAAAAAGAAACAAGGGGATAGAGATACAAGTCGTGAAGCCAATAAGTTTTCGTGTTGACTTAAACAGAGACTAAGACAGAATCTGTTCGATTCTATTTTACACTCACGCTCTGGTCTAGGGTTGTTAATCAAGAATTGCTGAACACCTTGAAGTATTATTTTTATGTACTCCTGAAACTATCTATCCAGCTTTCACCATGTTACTGGGCGTTTCCCTCATCCTAAACGTAAACAACAATTAGCAACATCCTCACATACTACTCTCCTGATGATGATGGCAAAGTCCATTGAAAGCTAGAGAGAATAAAAAAAAGTATAAAGAGTCCTCTTTGCTTAAATTTTATGAAGAAGAGATTATAGGGTAGTGTCGGAATAACAGTATCAAGCAGATCATCCATGACATATTCTGCCAAAATTGGTGATAGAACAGATCCCATAGGACAACCATGTGTTTGAGAATATATTTTGTTGTCGAAAGAGAAATAATTGTTATGAAAAAGGAATGTTATAATGTTGGTGAAAGATTCTAGAGATATGTTGCAGTGTTGACTTATCTCATTCCAGTGTTTATTAATAGTTCTTGTACATGCATCCAGATAGATGTTGCTGAATAGCGACACCACATCAAGACGAGAGACTCTCGTCAGTTCAACAGATTGACAATACCAGCCGATCATATTATCGCCAGTCTTGATGTGGTGTCGCTATTCAGCAACATCTATCTGGATGCATGTACAAGGACTATTAATAAACACTGGAATGAGATAAGTCAACACTGCAACATATCTCTAGAATCTTTCACCAACATTATAACATTCCTTTTTCATAACAATTATTTCTCTTTCAACATCAAAATATATTCTCAAACACATGGTTGTCCTATGGGATCTGTTCTATCACCAATTTTGGCAGAATATGTCATGGATGATCTGCTTGATACTGTTATTCCGACACTACCCTATAACCTCTTCTTCATAAAAAAATACGTAGATGACATTATTTTATGCCTCCCCTCCATAGGTCTGGATGGTATTGTC